GTCAAGTAATTCTACATTTTTAAGCTTATTTTCCAAAACACATTTTTCCTATCATTCTTACGTGAGAAAACATGCTTTCAAGACAAGTCATACCTCACATTTCAACTAGTGTGATTCAAGCTTATCATTTACTCCAAGGACATCAAAATAAGACAGGTTTCATGTCGATTCAAAAACAGCTCTGTCTGTAGACAACCTCTCACGGGATCAATGAGATCCATCTGTGTCTACAGCTTTAGTGAGGCAGACCACTAAGCCTCAGAAGTAGGACTAGGGATGCCACTTTACTTCACATAAAGTAGCACTTGTCAAACACTAACTCCTGTGACATGGAAGAACAGGTTTGTAGTAGGAGAGTATCTCTGAAATATACCCTTCCTTTGTTCCTCACGGAAACCCTGATGCCATAGTGGTTAAGAGCTATGGCTGCTAACCAAAAGATTGGCATGTTCGAATCCACCAGGTACTCCTTGGAAACTCTATGGGGCAGTTCTACTCTGTCCTATAGGGTCGCTGTGAGTTGGATTCGACTCGATGGCAACAGGTTTGGTTTTTGGTTTTTTCTTCCTCACATCAGGTTCTTGACTTCAGGCATTTGCTTGTACAATGAAAGCTGTGAGAGCCAGAACTTGACGGGATGGCCGTGTTTTTCTGGGTCTCACAAGTTTTCCGCCCTTGACAGGGTGCAGTCTTAACGATTTTCTATCACTCAGTTTAGTGGAAAATATTTTAATTTTCCTTCTCTGACAGGTTTCCGCCTTACACAGCTTTTGCAGGTTTAATTGTGTTTGAGGTTGTATAACGCTGACCTTACTTTTGCTCCATGGTATTTTCTACTCATAGTCAGTAAATGGTTGTTATCGAGTTGATGCTGACGCATGCTACCCCATGTGTGTCATAGGAGAACTGTGCTCCACAGGGTTTTCAATGCTCGATATTTCAAAGTAGATCACCAGGCTTCTTCTCTGAGGGGCCTCTAGGTAGAATTTAATCTCCAACCTTTTGGTTAGCAGCTGAGCGTGTTAATTATCTACACCACTCAGGTACACTCCTATTTTTAAGTATTCCATTAAAAGAGTATTTTGTTAATATTTTTACTTCATCATGCTTTGTCAGTCCTTCAAAATTAGGAGGCAGTATAATTTATTTTTCAAACTGCGTATTCTTTGCTTATGCTCTTTCACTTTGTCCCTATAATTCCCTCATTTATTGAACTGTAGAGTTTCAATTCTTGTTTGTCTTTTTATTGTTTTCTTTATAGCCTTCAATATTTCTTCTATAACTGTTTATATTCTTGAAATAACCTCTAACTCTATTCATCAGGCATTTCCCACTTGCACGATCACCAACAGCACACACAGGAGCTTCAGAAACAAGGCTGATGAATGATGACAGGCTAATGCAAAGTAACTACCAGTGCAGCAGACTCTTGAGAGCGCCACAACAGATCCTGGTAAGAAATACAGGTTTCGGTAGTTCAATTGGAAGGGAATCGTATTGTAACATGGAAATGCAGAAAAACTTATATCCAACGAGTAAATTGGACAGCATTCTGCCTGGCACGTAGGAGTGCTCTGTAATTGTTATTTTTTTCATCTTTTCTAAAGCAGAAGTGCTTCCTTAGAATTCTCTCCTAGTTCGAAAAAGAAAGGATTCATGCCGAGGAGTATCTATGGAAAACAGCGCCTATGGCGGTTAGTTTTAAATTGCTGAATAATCTCTCACAGCTGGCGATGGAGACCGTGATTGTGAATAGAAATTTCGCATTGGTGGCCCCACTCCACCTGCTCACCCTTCTACCCCCCACCCACAAATAGCTCCGAGAGCACGTGCCATACCTGTCATACCGTACATACACGTCTGGATTCATGCCATTTTGAGGGGTGAGTTCACATGAATACAAAAAACAGCACAGGTTTAGTATCTCCTAAGAGTTCAGTCTATCCTAGTACTCTGTTGAGTACCACTAAATGATTGTCCTATTTTATCATTAATTATTTGTTTGTATAAAATCGTAGAAAGTATGTGTTTATATTTTTCCCTGGGTATATTGGATATGTTTTTGCTTAAAAATCCCCTTAATACTTTCTTTGGTCAGGTTCTTGTATATCAAAGATCAACCCTCTTCTTGTTTTTAGTTACTATGTAGTTGGAAGTCAACCCTACGAGTATACAATTCAGAGCAAACATTAGATTCCTTTCTTTTTTGTCTCTCCAACAGTTTAAGAAAGTGGCAATAAGTTTAAGCATACAACAAAAGCAAACTTGAATGGGAAAAAGTCACAAAATATGTTGCAGGATAAATGTGTAATTGAGGAAAAGAGGAATCCCACTGTTGCTTTGGTAGTACTAGTAAGGTTTATTCACCACTCGTCTGTCAGTTTATAGTACTGTGGTGGCTTGAGTGTTGCTGTGATGCTGGAGGCTATGCCACCGATACTTCAAATACTAGCAGAGTCACCTATGGTGGACAGGTTTCAGCAGAGCTTTTAGATAAAGAAAAACTAGGAAAAAAATGACATGATGAACTACTTCAGAAAAAAATTGGCCAGTGAAAACCTTATGAATAGCAGCAGAATATTGCCTGATATAGTGCCAGAAGATGAGCCCCTTGGGTTGGAAGGCAATCAAAATATGACTGGGGAAGAGTTTCCTTCGCAAAGTAGAATTGACCTTAATGATGTGGATGGAGTCAAACTTTCAGGACCTTCATTTGCTGATGTGGCACGACTCAAAATGAGAAGAAACAGCTACAAATATCCATTAGTAATCGGAATGTGGAATGTAAGAAGTATGAATCTAGGAAAACTGGAAGTCATCAAAAATGAAATGGAACTCACAAAGATCGATATCCTAGGCATTAGTGAGCTGAAATGAACTGGTATTGACCATTCTGAATTGGAAAATCATACAGTCTACTATGCTGTGAATGACAAATTGAAGAGGAATGCTCACTAGTCTATGCCAAGAAATTTGGGAAAGAGCTACTTGGCCAAGCTACTGGAAGAGATCCATATTTTACCTATCCCAAAGAAAAGTGAGCCAAAAGAAATGTGGAAAGTATCAAACAATATCATTAATATCACAAACAAGTAAAATTTTGCTGAATATAATTTAAAAACAATTGCAGAAGTACATTAACAGGGAACTGCCAGAAATTCAAGCCAGATTCGGAACAGGATGTAGAACAAGGGATATCATTGCTGATGTCAGATGGATCTTGGCTGAAAGCAGAGAATGCGAGAAATACGTTCACCTGTATTTTATTGACTATGCAAAGGCATTAGACTGTGTAGATCATAACAAATTATGGATAACATTGCGAAGAATGGGAAATCCAGAGCACTTAATTGTGCTCATGAGGAACCTGTACGTAGACCAAGAAGCAGTCGTTCGATTAGAACAAGAGGTATCGCGTGGTTTAAAATCAGTAAAGGTATGATACAGGGTTGTATCTTTCACCATATTTATTCAATCTGTATGCTGAGCAAATAATCCAAGAAGCTGGACTGTATGAAGAAAAACAAAGCATCAGATTTTGGGGGCAGACTATTTTAAAATCTGTGATATGCAGATGACACAACCTTGCTTGCTGAAAGTGAAGAAGACTCGAAGCACTTACTGATGAAGATCAAAGACTATAGCCTTCAGTATGGATTTCTCCTATACATAAAGAAAACAAAAATCCTCATATATGGACCAATAAGCAATATCACGATAAATGGGGAAATGATTGAAGTTGTTAACGGTTTCGTTTTACTTGGATCCACAATCAACACCCATGGAAACAGCAGTTAAGAAATCAAACAACCCATGGGCAAATATGCTACAAAAGACCTCTTTAAAGTGTTAAAAAACAAAGATGTCACTTTGAGGACTAAGGTACACTTAACTCAATCCATGATATTTTTAATCGCCTCATATACGTGCTAAAGCTGGACAATGAATAAAGAAGACCAAAGAAGAAATGATGCATTTGAATTATGGTGTGGGAGAAGAATATTGACTATACCATGGACTGCACAGAAGAGAAAACAAATCTGTCTTGGATGAAATACACTCAGAGTGTTCCTTTGAAGCAAGGATGGTCAGACTTTGTCTCACATACTTTGGATATGTTACCAGGAGGGATCAGTCTCTGGAGAAGGACATCATGGTTGGTAAAGTAGAGGGTCAGTGAAAAAGAAGAAGACCCTCAATGAGATGGATTGACACAGTGGCTGCAACAATGGGCTCAAACATGGTAACGACTGTAAGGATGGTGCAGGACCAAGCAGTGTGTCATTCTGTCTTATATATGGCCACTCTGAGTCTGAACCCACTGTATGACACCTAACAACAGCAGTGAGGTTCATGGGCTTGAGGGACAGAGAGAGAGAAAGAGAGAAATTGACTGATTTCTTACTCTCCTTATTGCTTTGTTGACTCCCCCAGCAGCCTGTTATCAACAGGAAACCGAGTCAGCTTCTAGCAAATTGCAGACTTTTGGCAATTCCCTTATTCACCATGCCCTCGGGCCAACTCTAATTTGTGCTAACATCCACTTTACCTCAAACACAGCAGAATAAAGAGCTACAGACTGCAAATGGCAAGTTCATTTGCATTTTCAAACTTTGGGTAAGCAGGCAGAGATTTTACAGTATTCAGAATGTTTATTAAATGCCTATTAGATTAAGACACTGTGAAAAGTACCTTAATATCGTTAATCATCAGAATCAGCCTTGGAAGTTGTATTACCAATTCCCTTTTATAGATGCAAAACTGATTTCTTAGGTCGAGCACTATGTCTAATATCACACCACTGGTAAACACTGTTGCAGGGATTGATGTCCGAATGTTTTGGCTTAAATCCTAGGCTTTTCCACTATTATTAATAGTCAGCAAGTAAAGTTATTACATTTTCAAACATCATACTCTATAACTTATTATCCATGCAGACTTATTCAAAGGGTATTGTTTTCTTTTTTGAAGCACAGAATTAAAAATGTTCCTTTTCTTACCTCACGGCACTACTGCCCACATCGAGGTCTTGTGCAGTGACAGCGCCAATGATGGTCCCGACTGGAGTATCTTCGTAAACCTCCATGGTGTACAGAGGCTTACTGAACACTGGTGGCTCATCCACGTCCAGCACGCTGATCTTCAGGGTAGCTGTGTCTTTGAAGGGGCCCATGGAGTGAAACCGGTGGTCAAGGTGAAGATTGGAGGCCTCTACTTTAAAAGTATATGCCTTCTTTGTTTCAAAATCTAATGGCTGTAGTAAGGAAAAATCAAAATTGAGGAGGTACGTTCACATAGAATGTGGGAGAAATGGTGAATATCATTTCAGAGCAGTTTGCAAATTCAGACAGATGGTATTGTTTTCAACCCATACATTTCCTTTTCCTATATAATTAGCAGGTGAGGTAAGTGCAAGGTGGACTTTTTTTAAGACACAAACTTGCAGACGTTTCTTTGTAACTTGTAAAATAATCAGTTGCATAGATTAAAATGGCATAGTGCACACTTAATCATTTGATATGAGCAAAGTGAAAAAGAACAAGACAGTGGGAGGAAAGCATTTCTCTACTCTTATCCAACACTGACATCTAGTGGCATTAAGAGCAATTAAAAACTCCAAACAAAACTGAAATTGGATAACTGAAAATACTGTTTAGATCCCAGATGAAAATTTGGTTTGACAAAATATGTTTTTTTTTTTTTGGATTGCTTTCCTTATTTTGACCATAATATCATTGTTTATTAAACACTTTTTAATGCCCAGATATTTGGGCCAAAAAAGGACTGTATCAGGATTTAAAGATGTACACAGTGGTAATTACGAGAAGGGTTTAGGTGTTTTCTATTTTGAGGGTTGCATACGCAATTAATGGGCAGCGTACGTGCACCTGCAAGATATATTACCAAGAATTTAGGCTTCACAAGTACAAAGACAAATTAAAGAAGACCGTGAAATATTTGAAAGTCATTTCTCCTTGAAGTCATTGTGTCTCAATTTTAGCATTACCACTGTTTACATTCACCATTACTGTGAATATTGATCTTATGTTGCCAAGAACTGAAAACATTATATGCCAGAAATACAGTGTTGCTCTGGTGCTTTGTTTAAATGGTAACTTTAAGGTCAATGCCTCTGACTTCTAATGACCTAAGAAAAAGAAGACAATCTTAATGTCACTTTACCATAGTGATTTTCTGGGACCTTTAAATTGTTTCTGTTTTCTAAAGTAATTCCTGCTAGTGTGACTCCAATGAATTGCTAATTGCTGTGTCAACATATCTGTTTCTTTGCCTCAGTACACCTGGGGGAAATAAAGGAGGTATACTTTTTCTCTCTTCGGCATAAGAATGTTTTTTATGCATTTCCTCTGGTGAGGGAAAACAACAAAAAATAAATTAATCACAGGTGACATCCTCAAAAAACTCACAATTCTGTGGAGGTTATTATAGCAAAATATTAACACCTCTTGGACTTGACACCAAGTCTCTTTTGCTGTATGTTTCATTCCATGCTGCCTATATTTATTTTCCCTGTAATTATTCCCTTTATCACTGATTCTTTTATTCATGTTTTTACATAGCTTGTATTCAATGCTTTCTTTTACTTTTTATATTTTTGTTTACCTTATACCTGTTTACATATGATACCAATTTTCTTCAATTTCCATCTCTTTTCTATTGCAAATTTTGATTTATCTTAAAGGTAATATAAATAAAGAAGAGTATGTATAATATGCCATGATTTACAATATGGCCATTGGTTACACGAATATAAATATAAAATCTAGAACCTAAGGGGATAATCTCACAGTGCCCTTTCTTTGATCAACCCTTACCTTAACTAATTTATTCTCCTAAGGAAATCAGATTCATGAAAAGAGACCATATTGTCAGTATAGTAAAACATCAGTCAAGCGAAAAATAATAAAAGGCTACAGTTACTTGGGATGTTTACCCTAAAGAAGATCAAGGGAAGAGAAGACAGGCATTTTCAAATAGTTGACGAGCTGTCAAGTTGAAGAGCAATAGGGCTTATTCTATGAGACTCTGAGTAGTAAACTACCGGTAATTTAAATTATTGAAAAGGGTAATTTCAAGTCATTAAAAAAGGCAATCTCTAACAAATAAAATCATTTAAAATTGACTGAATTAAAAATATTGATAGCCTACTCGGTGACAAATTGGGGGATACACTGTGGCAGGGCAGAGAGATGAAAGGCAGATAAAGCATGCTTTCTCTCTGCATTCAACAAACTCAGAGAAGAGTGAGAAGTGTATTATTTTAATTAATGAATGTGTTATTTGAAGAAGTTCCCCATTTCTGAATATGCTCAGGGAAAGTCAGATGTCTTGGAGATGTCTGAGAAAGAAACTCAGATTTAAGATTGCACTAAGCCCAGCTCAAACCCGTTGCTGTTAAGTCGATGATGACTCATCTCGACCCTATAGGACAGAGTAGAACTGCCCCATAGGGTTTCCAGGGAGTGGCTGGTGGATTCAAACTGCTCATCTTTTGGTTTGCAGCTATAGCTCTTAACCACTGCATCACCAGGGCTCCAAGATTTCAATAACTAACTCAAATTTAAAAAAAAAAAGCAGTTTCCATTGAGTCAGGTCAACTCTGACTCTTGTGTCAGAGTAGAGTGTGCTCCATATGGTTTTCAAGGGTGATTTTTTAGAAAGTGGATGGTCAGAACTTTCTTTTTATTTATTTATTTTCAATTTTACTTTAGGTGAAGGATTACAGAACAGTTTCTCATTAAACAGTACACATATTGTTTTATGACATTGGTTAACAACCCCACGACATGTCAATGCTCTCCCTTCTCGACCTTGGAGGGCCTTTTTTTTTTTTGGTGAAAATATACATAGCCAAAGATACACCATTTCAAAAATTTCTACATGTACAATTCAGTGACATCGATTACGTTCTTCCAGTTGTGCTGCTATTCTCACTTTAGATGAAGGTTTACAGAACAAAATAGTTTCTCATTAAACAGTTAGTACCCATATTACCCTATGACAATGGTTAACAACCCCACGACATGCCAACACTGTCTTTACTCAACCTTGGCTCCCTATCACCAACTTTCCTGTCCCCTTCTGCCTTCTAGTCCTTGTCCCTGGACTGCTGTGCCTCATTAGTCCCATTTTGTTTTATGAGGCTGTCCAATCTCCAGCTGAACAGTGAACCTTGGGAGTGACTTCACCACTGAGCTAAAAGGGTGTCTGGGGGCCATACTCTCGGGGTTTCTCCAGTCTCTGT